ATTCCCGAGAGGCCAAATTAAGCTGCGTGCATGTCTCTTACAACGAGGCCCACTGTTTTTTTTGTTCATGAAAGATGCGTGTGTAGCGGCCGTTTTATAAGATTTTTTCTCTGCTCTGACAAAATGCCTTCTTTGTCGCACAGAACATCATCGCCTGGCCTTCCCCTTTCTTTAGCCCCCTCATGCCACGTTCCTCACAAATAATGGACTGTGCCATCTTGGGTCGAATATAACTTGAACATCGTGGGACGTACGTAAATTTAGCTGCGACGGCAGCCACAGGACGAACTCCGCCTTTAAGCCGACGAGAGGGAGAAGCCACGGGGGAATGGTCCAAACTTCCATGCCAGGCTCAAATGGGCAGGTGGTCAGGCGGCAGGGCAGGCTTAACGCTGCCTTGGTAGAATTCAGAATTTGTAAATTAAAGTCTAAGCGTCTCGTCGCTTAAATTAGCGCTGGGCCAGCGCAACGTGTCTGTTTGCGAATCTGAGCCACTGCGGTCTAAAATTCCACATTCCTTGAGCGCTTGGGTGGATGGGGTGGGTGGGGGAAGTCACTTCATAAGGATGGCCACATAAGTGGCATTCGCCCACTTTTATCAACCCCTTGTTCCCGGGTTTCGTTTGGGAGCCGTCAATCCCTTCTCTTTTAGCTTCATGCGGTTGAGGCATCGACGCCGCATGGACGAACGTTCTCACAGATATTTTATACAACAGCCTGGGGTACGTGTGTCACAGTCGGCATCTAAAAAAGTCACCCAAGCAGCAATTCTATGCATTATCACAATTTGGGGTAAAAAATCGATTACTCTATTTATATTTTCGCGATATAACCCAAAAAAACATTGATTATGAATATTGGTCATGAAAGCCTACATGTAATTTTTTTTTATTTGTATTGTATAATTGTATTCTGTCTAATTTGTATAGATTTATGTCCATTGTATTTCCTCAATGTAGCCGTTTTGCATATGATATGCATGTCATTTGCATAAATCGTTAATAATTCATATCTTGTGAGCATATGATAAATTAAAAAGTCAATCACATATTTTCTACAACAAAGCAAATGCGGTACGCAAGAACGGTCCACCGTGTTCGGTACAAACGAAGGGGTCCAAAGTAAAACTCCATTGTGTCCTAAGACAGGAAAGAGAAAATGGAGAAAATGAAGAGAAGAATAACGTCTGTGATCGGTGCGACGTACTGGGCTGAGTCGAAATCTAAAACAATATAAACAAGAGAAGAATAATAGAGAGAGTCACGATCAGCAAATTCATTTAAGGGGTAAAATGATAGAGCCAGCGGTGGCGGCGTAGAAATGGGATTAAAAAAAAGGTTTTTATTACAACTCAACGCGAGCCCGTTACAAAGTGCCGATCACCGAACTAAGGGGGTGCAGGGAACGAAAGCAGCCCGAGACATGACAGGGCCCAACGAAGGAGGGAAGGAATTCCGTTTTAATCGATGAGTCGGCACGTCGGTAAAGTGCGAGGTGGCGTGTCGTTCAGTGCGGTGACAATGAGAATGGGGTTAGAGGTCACCGCGCTCGTTCACGGTAACTCTCCCTGCACCGTGATTCCTGCTGTTTTCAAGGCCGTTACAGAAGGAGGGGATGAAACATCCATGGTGGTAGCCTTTCATCACCCAACCACCACCACCACCACCAATGAGCCGGTCTCCCTGCCTCCCACCACAACTCAGCTCTCTTCTTCCTCTAATCTCCTTGTGCCCTCCTGCCTCGATCGCCCCTAGTCCCCCACCTCGATCCCCTCTCACCATACATCAAACCTCGGGCCACTCTCACTCATTACCTAACAGCCCCCTACGCTCCCACTGTAACCCCGTGCCATTGCCCGTTCTATTTTGGAACTCCAGCAATGACAGTATGGTTAATCTGGCCGATGCCACAACAAACGACCCGTTGCCAAGTTGCTGCCAGTCATGACGTTCCTGGTCTCTTGTCCCGTAGACCAGGGCATAGGATACCGTGCAGGAGAAGATTCGAATTTGATAGGGGAACTTTGGTGCCACGTTGCGGCGACCAGGCACGCTGGTACATGGCATGGAAACAAACGCCGGTGATTCGAGGCGAGGATCCGTGGTGTTCCAGTGCACCGTGGCTTTGGTGGCCGAAAGTTGAGTCTTGACTACGGGGCCCGCCATGCCAGAAATGTTGACAACCACTGCCGTAAACGTTTTTCCTAAGTCCAGTGCTCGTATCCTCCATTGCTGCTCGTATGCATCACTGCTCCTCCCACACACCTCCCGTACAGGGCTTAAATTCTCACGGTCGACTTCTCTCACAGACTGAAATAGGTACGTGACTCGTAGCCACAGCCACAGTGAGAGCTACACTGGATGTGCAGGCAAGAAAAATGTATAATTATCTTGGGTTACCGACCCCGATAGAACTTGCTGAAATGAAGCCCTACTCCACGTGGAAGAAAAAAAAATTCTCGCAAGGAAACTGAACTGAGTTGGGCCACTGATCCAGTGCTCTCCTGCAAGGTGTCGGTAGTTCGCACAGAAATTTGCATGAATCTCCCAAAAGAAACCCACCGGGCTCCTTGGAGGCCAAGGAGTGGCGGTACAGCAAGTGGGTGTCGTGAACCTGTCCGCACAGAGCGCTGTCCCCACATACGGTGTGGGTACACCTCTGGGTGATCCACTTCATGCGAACTACTCGATGAGGGATTGACCAAAGACAATGTTGTGACCCTACTGATTGAAGACGTTACATTGCTGTTTTAGTGAAAAGGCAAAAGGGTGCAGCCCTGCAATCGCTTGTTCACGCCATCGCTGGCGGAAGGGCCTCCAATAGAGGCAACCTCGGGGGGGGGGGGGTGTATGTTTTGGCCTACTCTTCCACGCTGGGCTGACATCTCGGGCGACGTATCCACACTCTGCCAATCGGTGATAGCCGTGGTGGCGTACCCGTTATGGTCAAACAAACCCCTCTGACTTTCGCGGCTTGGGGCGGCAGTAGTGGCGGTGTGGGAGGTGGAGGGGGGGGGAGGCCTTCATCCAGCAGTGGATTGATCATAAGTGACAATAATTACGTAGGTCAGATAGAGGCATGAACAGAGTTGGTGGCGCGATGTGATGAATGGGTTTGACCAGATAAGAGCATAATGCATCGTAAATCTGAGCCGTTGTGAGATTAATCCCTGGAGGCAAAGCAACAGTGACCATTGGTCTCTTGATCGACCGGCAACCTCCCTCCCATCTCCCCCACCACCTCTCCGTGATCTGCAGCTTACACCTAAACGCTCCCCCCCCCCCACACACTCCCCACCAATTCACTATGCCCCCAGTCTGCAGTGTGGAAAGCCGGCTGAATTTTAATCCTCCCTTTATGCGTATCAGAATAGCGTGGCTCACAAAAGAATTCTGTCCATAAAAATGGCAGCGTGCGTTGCGTGCTCGCGCGGAGCGGTGGCGCAGTGGTTAGCGCACTGCGTTACGAATCCGGCGGCCCGCTCGCAGCCAACGTGGGTGACGGATATCTGTGCAGGTCCTGTGCCTCCGCTAATTGAGTACCTGTGAAGGCTGACCCCGGGGCACGAAAGGGCTGGTGTGGTCACGACCACGCCTGGCCGCCTTTGTCTCCCCAGATATGATGTTTGTGTCCTGAGAGATGGCGTTTACACACTGCATCAGGTACTCATTCGAGGCTGAGTTAACCTAGGGGAAGCCCAGGATCGCTTCAAATATTCGTCAGGAATAAAAATCTCGGGTCGAGGGGTTCGTAGCGCAGTGCGCAAACCATTACGCTGCAGGCACACACACGCTAACGTGCACACCACATGCGCATATCCACACGTGTGTGTGTGTCCGCACGGTCGTGCAGTGGTTCGCGCGCTGCACTACAAACCTGGCGAAACGAGTTCGATTCCCGTTCACGGCCAACACCAGTGACGATTATCTGAACCAGTCCTGGGCCTCCCCAAGGTCGACTCAGCCTTAAATGAGTAGGCTGAAGCAGTGTGTGAACAGTCTCTCGGGACACTGGGGAGACGAAGGCAGCCATTGTATGTGCGTTGAACATCTTTCAGAATCGGAGGTGGAGGCGTGGTGCTGGCCACACCAGTGAGATGTTATCTCCCTCGCCTGGTATGCAGGAGGTCAGAATCAGAGTATGTATTTAGACAAAAGGAATCTGATTAGCTATGAAGTTTCTTTTTCAAAGATGTCCAGTAGACATCTGGGTTTGGTCCCGGCCCTGACGCCTGCTGTATATTTGGAGTTTGCATGTTCTCCCCGTGGCCACGTGGAATTTTCTCCGTGTCCTCCGGTTTTTCCCTCCACATTTAGAAACGTGCTTTTAAATTATGTGGCTGCAATACATTTCGACAAGATACGCCACTTCCTTGAGCTATCATTTATGGCCAGGTCGATTCTGAAAAACGGTTAATAGCTCAGTGGACTTTAGGGTTCGTGAACTTGTCTGCACGGAGTGTTATCTCCTCACATGTGGGTATTCCTATGGATGCTCCACTTTCTGCAAGCATACTCAATAAGGAATTGACCAGAAAGGCTGCGTGACCCTCCTGATTAAATATATCACTATTATTGAAAATGGTAAAGGTGCAGCCTTTCAATTGCTTGCTTCACGCTGGCAGAAGAGCGTGTTGATGGATTAGCACAATGGAAGGTTTGCGGTGTTCCCCCGGAGTGGGCGAGCTGGGTTGAGCAGTGTTGATGGATTAGACACAGGCGGTTCGTAAATTTCATCCCGGAAAGTCCAGTTGTGCCGTTTGGCACGCCACATCCACCCCCCACCTTCTTTGTCCTCTTCGTGCCCCACAAATCCCATAAACGTGTTTATAGAATGTAGGGTACAGTAACGTTATTATGCATAGGCAGGTACCTTGTACTCGTGGTAGTGCCTTACACAGATAATTCTGCATGCCAACGTAACCGCCGTGTCTCCCTTCCCGCGTTCCCTGTCCCCCGCGTTCTGCCGGCCCCCCCCCCCCCCGTTTCGCCGCCGTGCAGGCCAAGGTCATCGTGCCCAACACGACGGCGGGCCTTCTCATCGGCAAGGGCGGTGCCACCGTTAAGTGGATCATGGAGCAGTCGGGAGCCTGGGTGCAGCTGTCGCAGAAGCCGGAGGGCGGCATGCTGGTGGCGGGCGGCGTGGTGGCGGCCGCCGCCGCCGCTGCGGCCGCCGCGGCCGCGGGCGGTGGGCCGCCCGGCGTGGCGCTTGGTGGCCTGCAGGAGCGCGTCGTGACGGTGAGCAGAATTAAAATCAGTATTTTTACTGATACCAGAGGAATCCGATGAGCTATGAAACTATTTTTCACAGATGTCCAGATGGGGTGGGTAATAACGTTACAAAAACAAACAATACAAAAACATGATGGTAGTGCAAAGTTCATAAACATTCTAGATTTGAAGCTTTCGTGACTGCAAGGATTCATACTCTTAGGTTTTTTCGGTAAAGTCACGTAGGTAAAAAATAAAATTAAAATTAATACAAGTAAAATAAAAAATCACGACGTTTCGGAGACAACACAAGCTTCCGTCTTCAGGTGGAACCGTCACAGCACGATTGCTGTATTGCTTGATACAGCACCCGTGCTGTGACAGTTCCACCTGAAGACGGAAGCTTGTGTTGCCTCCGAAACGTCGTGAGCCATAAACATACAAAAAAACGAAACCATACCCATCCTACCAGCCAAAGCCCACTGAGGTATTAACTTATTTTTCAGAAGTGACCTGGCCACAGATGATACCTCGACAAAGTGGCTTATCATTCGGACATTTATAGTAGCAAAATAATGGAAATAATGCCGCTGGTTTCAGTGCCACCGGTCCGGTTCAGAGGTGGATTTTTGCAATCCGTGAAATGGCAGAAGCGGTAACGTGAGATGACGTACAGCAAAATTAAGTGAATAGAAATCGGGGGTAAAAACGATTGCATTCACAAAAGTTGGCTTGAGCAAATTACTTTATTTTTTTTTTATGTTTGACAATTCTGCAACCACTCAACTCTTTAGCATGACTTTGCTTAAGAAAGTGCTTCTCGAGAATGTGTAGCACCGATTTTAATCTAACGTAAAAAATCTCGACACATTCGTCAGCAACAAGGCAGAGAAAGATGTCTCCGCTGGGAAGAAATGCCATTGCCCGAAACGTGGCATATCGGTCTTCCTGACGAACTTGTCGAGTGTTTGTTAGTCGTCGTCATCGTTGTTGTTTAAATGAACGCAAGACGCTAAACACAACGAGCAGAAACACAATCGTCGCTTGTTTATGTTTCCGTGGCTCAGCGCGCCTCCTCTGTACACGAGGAAATGGCGCTGCGTCGCGCATTGCCGAATGTTTGTAACAGTTTCTCTGTTGACTTGACTGTAGTCATTAAGAAGGGGGCCAAGCTGCATTTAGTTCGGGGGAGGTGGGGGGCTCCACCCCCTCCAACCATCCACGGCCCCCCCCTCCCCGAAACACGATGGGGCTGCCACGCTAACGACGCTGCCGATGCCCCCAACGTTGCCGACAGCGTGGGCTGCTGGAGAAGTGAGAATCGGGGGGGGGGGGGGGGTGGGAGGTGTGGAGCAGAGCGAAGATGTCGAGAAGGAAGCTGCTGAAGTGCAGAGTTGGGCGTCGTACATCCAGGGACTGTAGTTGTTCACATTCCTAGAAATTGAGCTATTTAACCAGTCGCTGGTCAACTGCAGTAGGTGGTCGACTCAGACAGACCCTGGTAATAACACGGACACAAATGCGCACACTCCCCCCCTGCCCCCCCCCCCCAACACCGTGGTTCAGGTGAGCGGCGAGCGCGAGCAGGCGCGCCGCGCTGTGCAGCTCATTGTGCAGAAGATCCAGGAGGACCCGCAGAGCGGCAGCTGCCTTAACGTGAGCTACGCCGGCATCACAGGGCCCGTGGCCAACGCCAACCCCACCGGCTCCCCCTACGCGGGCCCCACGCCCGGCGTGGGCCAGGCGGACGTGCTGCCCGCGGCCCTCACCGCCAGCCTCTTCGGCCACTCGGGCCTGGCGGCGGCGGCCGGCGTCTCGCCCTTCCAGACCGCCGTGCTCCCCACGTGCTTCGGCGGCACGGACCACCTGGTGGCCATCTCGTCGGCGCTCAGCACGCTGGCGGGCTACGGCTACGGCCTGCCGTCCTCGGCCGCCGCCGGGGGACACCCGGGCCTGACCCTGGGCCTCACCAGCCCGGCCACGGCCGCGGCGGTGGCGGCGGCGCAGGCCCACGCGCACCACCACCACCACCACGCTCACCACGCCGCTCACCACCATCACCACGGCGGCGGGGGCGGGGCTCCCGGCGCCGTGCCGCTCTCGGTGCCGTCCATGCCCTCGGCGGCCGCGGCCGCTGCCGCCATGCTGGGCTCCAACCTGGCGGCCGCCAACCTCCTGGCCGGATACGGCGACCCCGCCTCCATGGCCGGCGCGGCGCCGCCGGTGGGCGCCGGGTCGCCATACCCCCTCGCCGGCATCGCCCCCGTCGGCGCGGCCGGCGGGGGAGGCGGCTGCGGCGGCGGCGGCGGAGGCGGGGGGCCGTACGGCTCCTCGCCGCTCATGGCCGGCGCACTCCTCGCCGCGACCACCGGTGGCGGCGGTGGCAGCAAGCACGGCCATGCAGCCCCGGCGTCGGCCGAGCCCGACAAGGATTCGGCGGCGGCAGCGGCGGCGGCGGCGGTGGCGTCCGGAACGGCGGTGGAGATTAACGTGCCGGAGACGCTGGTGGGCGCCATCCTGGGCAAGGGCGGGAAGACGCTGGTGGAGTACCAGGAGGTGACGGGCGCGCGCATACAGATCTCCAAGAAGGGCGACTTCGTGCCGGGCACGCGCAACCGAAGGGTGACCATCACAGGCCCGCCGGCGTCCACGCACGCCGCGCAGTACCTCATCACGCAGCGGCTGCAGTACGAGCAGGGCTTGCGGGCCGTCAACCCGCAGAAGGTCGGCTAGCGGAGGGCTGGCGCGCAGCCCGCGGCCCACAGCCCATGGTACTGGAGGCGGTGGTGGTTTACAGGTAGGGGCTCGGATATGAGCGGAACCAACGAAAAATGATACAGGGTGTCCGTAAACGCGCCGCCCATTGTTGAATTTTATTGCGCAGCGGTTTGAGTCGTGTTCAACCCGCTGTCCAATCACAATTCATGAGCAGTGATGGGCGATACCTTTACGGGCACGCTGTGCGACGACGGTTTCGTCATCGTTGCTGTTGCAATTTTTGCCCCGGGTAGGATTGGGGGGGGATGTGAAGCGGGGGGGGGGGGGGGGGTGGGGGGTGTGAAGCGGGGGGGGGGGGATGTGAAGCGGGGGGGGGGGATGTGAAGCGGGGGGGGATGTGAAGCGGGGGGGTGGGGTGTGAAGTGGGGGGGGGGATGCGAGGCAGGGGGTGGGGGGGGGGAGATGACAACAGCCTACGCGGCTTCGGTGCCGTTGATTGTCCCAGGGCTCAGGGGTCAGAGGTCGAGGCTTGTAGATGTTATTATGCTCGGATTATGATGACGAATTGTTTTCCCTGTGTTTGTGCTGAATGTGACTAACTTTTATTTTTACGCTTGTCGGGAAAGTCCGGTTCGTTTACCTTGCGTTAGTTTTCCAGTTGGCTTTTTGCGTCGCCAGAGTTCGCCCGCCCGCACGCCCGCGCGTGTCCCGGGCTGGGCAGGCGTCGTCGGCAAGAGGCGTGGTGGAAAAGCGACAGCATCGACGTTCGAAAGCGAACAACGGCGCCGCCCGCGTGAGGTGGCGCAAACGCGAACGCGCCGTCGATGTCTCAAGCTCGCGGTCTCACGTCGATTACGATAAAAACTGGAAAACGCGTTTTAGATTAGGTTCGTGCGTAGACTTTACTCTCTCCTCCTCCTCCTCGCTCGCTCCTCACGGTTCCTTTCTGCTCGCCACAGGTGGAGTGACAGTGGGAGGCTCGATGTAGCGGCATTTCCGTAGTTTACCGTTGAGTAAATTTTCCCCCCTATTTTTGTGATGCTCTTCGTTTCTCCTTTGAATGGCAACAACAAAAACAAAAAAATGTAAAAAAAATACAAAAAATTGTACGTATTGAAAAAAAAACATGCCACTTTTTTTTTATCATACCGGACATTTCAGCCGACTTTTACATTTTATTCTTTCAGCATGACAGTGGTGAGTGTCTAGGCTACTGTGAACAAGTGCTCCCCCTGACTACAACCGCGAATACGACTGCTGCCGGCGTTTCGATCCCCGTCGTTGTGAACTGTGCGCGATCCCGTAGCGGCCGTGTTCACTCAGTGATTTCACATTTCGTGAAAACGTTTTCCGTTTCCACACCATGGGGTTTCTCATTTTAACGTTCGGCCAGGAGGAGAACGCTGACGATGCACGGTCTTGTCACTGTCGTCGCCGTTTGCTTGAAAATCCTCGACCCAAGAGCGCTCTTGTTGCTCGTTGATCCACGACGCGCCCGGCCATCGGCCATCGGCCATCCACCAATGGCGGCCCCCAGCTGTGTCTGTGGATCAGAGGTCGCAACCGGGTACCCGATACCCGTACCCTACCCGATACCCGGCTACCCGTACCCGGCCGGGTACGGGTAGCCGGGTACCCTTTTGCGACCCTGGTGCGGCCGGGTACGGGTACGGGTAAGAAATCAAAATCCGTTTGCGACCTCTGCTGTGGATTGATTCCGTTGCAGCCGCAGTTTTTGCAAAGTTAACCTTTCGTAACCGGGTCACATTACGTATGAGTCGTTAACATTACGTATGCAGCGGTACGTGCTCATGTTTTCTTTTTGTTTTTATTCGGTGAAACGACCACTAACTTGAACGTTAGTATTACGATCGTGGCCAGATGCTCGGTGTGTTTGTAAGTTTTTGTTTTTTAACGATTACTTTTTTTTTCCCGCGTGGATTTCGTTAGAACATTCATTTTGTAATTTAACATTACGCGTTTTTACATTCAACTTATTGTACTTTTTTTTAAAACGTCTTCTCGAGAATGGATGTTTTTATTTGTTTCATTTTATATACACTGTATTATACATTAATACATTCATATTTAAGTGACAGATGTTTTTTTTTGGGAGGGCAATTTTAGTTTTGTTCGTTACATGACCACAATGGGGTTTTGTTTCTTTGGGCCGGGGTAAAAATGAGGATCGTCTAAATTTGCTGGGAGAAGGTACCTCGCGAAATCGACGAGGTCCTCACGTGACATTCGTCGACAGACTTGAACCCTGACCCCCCCGCCCCGCCCCCCCTTGTGTTAGGCATAGCGGAGCACGAGACGACCTTCTTGGGCAAGTCGCAAAAGTGCAATAGGATCATTAAATAATATTTACCTGACAAAAAAAGTTAAATTTCAATCGAGACATGTGACTTCACACTACGAACCAGTTTGGATGGAGCGATAGACAGCCGGACTAGTTTGATGGAAAAAATCTAGTCAACGTCAAAAACACTAAACTTTCATTTTCAACGTTTCGATTCCGTTCAGCAATTGTTGATCGAATTAAGCGTTGAGACAGTGATGTTATTTAATTTTGTAAAATGCCAAGACCTGCCAAATACTGTTATTAAGACTAATCAGTTTACAGTTTAATTGTGTAATTTAATCTTTAAACTAATGATTATAAATACAAATTTTAACAAATATGTGCTTACGTGCCAAGAATATCTTTGCAAAAAAATATGAATGGATAAGGAGCGTAATAGTAATAATCATGATAATGTAATAAACTAATAATAATATTTACAGCAATTACCAGATGTACAAGTCAGTATTTTCTATACCGAGGAATTGTGAATTCCGTGCGTACTTCGTGTGTGTCCAAGCTTTTTGCTAGCAGCTCGAATATCTTTTATGTACACTCTACACTCTGTCTCGATAACAATAGAGAATATATCAACAGCGACAGTGATCTCTCAAGACAGCGTCGAAGAGATGTAGATTTTCCCGTGAACATACGCCGTGCGATGGGGTTTTAAGAGATTATGTACTGCCCGTAGCATACGTGGTTCTAGTATTCTTCTGAGCAGTGTTTTGCTTTGCCTCAGTGGTCGACTCGAGGCACAACACAAACGGCTCTTACCCTCTAGATACACAGACACACACGCGCACAAGGCTGCGTCCTGGGCTTGCAGACCACAAGGCTGCAGTTTCATCAATGAAAAAAACAGGAACAGCTGACCATCAAAGACGTGCCCGACGCTAAAACTACAGCTGAGCAGTGGAACGTCTGACACGAGACGTGATAAGTTTGCCGATTAATTTTAAGGGCCCTGCAAATGCGAATCATTATCGTTTGAAGTCAGTGTCGGGCCCCAACACCATAGCACTCGAATGACATCACTCCGGTCTTGAGTTAAAAGTATGAGTGGGACGAATTACCCCCCCCCCGCCACCCAACCACCTCGCCATCGCGTGCTGATGAATTATCGAGACTCAAGCATTCGACGATCACTCTCAAATAATATTTGTTTTAGATTTCACTTCGCAACGAGTGGAGGCAGCCCTCACGGTGGAGGGGGGGGGGGTGTCACTGCGTTCCTCTCTCGGCCGCTTGTACGAGGCGCACTCGGAATGGGTTCGCCCATTTTTAGTAATCATCACTTGCCTCAATATTGCACTATTGAATGCAACGGACATTAATATATTTGTATTATTCTGCTAAACGCAACACTATTGTTGCTTCAACCGCAAACTACTGAAATAATGACAAAAACAATTGGCTCCAGCCCACACGTAACGAGAGTAGCAACGCAACTCTTCGCATAATTCGAAGCGACGGAATCCCGCTTTGTTTCGAAGCGTCCACTCATCTCGGCTGTAAAGTGTGCGCGTTGAGCAAGATGCTGGGTGGTGTGCGATGGCGTTATGGCGCCGATCTATCATATCAAACGTTGTTGGTGTCGTTTTTCAATTTTTAGCGCCGCACTCCCAAAATATAATTCTAAAAATATATAAAAATCTAGCCAAGTAGGGCACTGGTAGTTTCTTTTTATATCTATAAAATGTGTAGCTCATGACCCTTAAAAATGGTAAAAGTTCGCCGTGTTATTTTTCCAAGTACGGTTCGTATATTGACCTCTGAGGCGATGACGTGTGGAGCGAGGGTTACGAAGCCCGTGTCATTCTCTGTCTCCACCGCGGTGGGTGAGTGCGATTACAAAATGATATCACCTCCCTCCCAACCGCAGTCCTTAATTCGAACGCTCACTCGGTTTCTTGTTTTTGTTAGTTGTACAAACTCGATAGCCGTACGTGTAATGTTCATGACTATTTATATAGACGTTCAGTTGTTCACAGTACAATATCGGTATATTTTTTTCTCACGGATTACCTATTTTATTTTGCGTACACTTTCCCCGTAGCTGCAGATGAATCTCTGATCGGCTTGCTTGTTGTTTTCATGCTGAAGGAATTTATTATTTAAAGAAAAATTTCACAAGCAAAATTTACGAACAAATACCAACAAGAGTTGTGAACGGTGATTGATGCCAGTTCGACATCATCACCGATTAGAAATTCCGCAGCAGCCCTGCGCGCACACACACTGGCTATAGGAAGCGCCTAGATTGCGCTACTTACCGCGTATTCGTCCGTCAGACAAACACGTCTCCGCCCTACACCCGAGTTATCCCGCGCCGATCCGTCTTTACGAGTCTCCGATCCGTACGGCACGCTCCGACCGGCTCTCCTCCGCTCCCTTCGTCCCTTCCACCCATGCTTCCTGCCACGGCGGATGTTTCTGTGCCACCCTCCACCATTCGTCCCTTCCCCATCGTCGTACAGAGGCCTCCGTCAACACGTCGTGCGCAACCTGTGCTTGACGAGGACTGACGAAGCAAGCGGGGTTTTTTTGTTTTTTGGCAGCTTTTGCGTCCAGAGCTTCGCTTGGCTTGCTTGCTCGTATCCAGGGCTTAATCTCAGCTCTGAGCTGTTCTTGTCGGCGGCCCAGATAATATTTTTTTCTGCACCCGGCACACCGCTCTCTTACTCTGGCCTCTCTTACTCTGGCCGTGCCCACCACTTACAGCGTTGTGTGAC